AAAAAAAAAAAAAAGTCAGATGTTGTGGCAGACACCTACAGTCCCAGCTACCTGGGAGGCTGAGACAGGAGAATCGCTTAAGCCCAAGAATTTGAGGTTGCTGTGAGCTGTGACGTCACAGCACTCTACCAAGGGTGACATAGTGAGACTGTCTCAAAAATAAACAAACAAACAAGCAAAAAAAAATTTTTAAAAGACATGAGTCTCAAGCTGTTATCCTGGGCGCAGTGCTGTTGCATCATAGCTCATAGCAACCTCCAATTCTTGGGTTCAAGCGATCCTCTTGCCTCAGATTTTCTATTTTTAGTTGAGACGAGGGTCTCTCTCTTTACTCAGGCTGGTCTCAAACCCATGAGCTCAAGCCATCCACCCACCTCGACTTCCCAGAGTGCTAGGATTACAGGCGTGAGACACGGCACCCAGCCCCTGCTTGACTATTTTAAAGACGTCACTTAATTTGGAGGAGTCAATATTTGAGGAAAGTGAGTTCTAAACAAAGAAGGCCAGGTAGTGCTTGTAATCCCAAGTTCTCTGGGAAGCTGAGCTGGAAGTGTGACCAGTTTTATAACAAAATTTTACAAATCTCGGGCAGCGCCTGTGGCTCAAAGGAGTAGGACATCGGCCCCATATACCAGAGATGGTGGGTTCAAACCCAGCACCGGCCCAAAACTGGAAAAACAATTTTTTTTTAATAGATCTCTAGTGTCCTAGCTCCCTCATATTCAAAAGGAGTTTCTAATATTCACATTAGAACTGAAGCAGGCAGCTAAGTGGCCTTGACTGGACAGGGATGAAACAGTTGAGTATTATCTCAGCTCCAGTGGCCTAGCAACGGCAGTCTTAGAAAAAGTGAGAAAAGATAGAGAGGTCTCAGTACAAACTGGTAAACAGAACTTTGTAATTTTCTGTACATGGATACAATTTCTTTGAGTTTTTCCCAGAAAACAAAAGAACCCCCTTACAGCCTTGAGATAACTACAGTGCCTTACTCTACCAGAATATCCAGAGAAAAAAGTCAAGATAAGCGATTTGCCACTGCAGATTGTGACTGAGAGCCACTGAGCCTGCCACAAGGCTAAAAGAATAAACAATATTAACCCCCAGTTCATTATAATAAAATTCCCACCCTGGGGAGGGATTTGTCCACTATATTTTGTTCATGGGATGTATGAACTAGCATGATTCCCCACTGCACTTGTGTGCCCTGCACCCCACCCCAAATATGCCATGGGGTTCACTCCCTCTATGCATTATTCATTTTCACCTCCATCAAAACCCCTTAACCCTGGCAGCGCCTGTGGCTCAGTAGGTAGGACGCCGGCCCCATATACCGGGGATGCAGGTTTGAACCCGGTCCCAGCCAAACTGCAACAAAAAATAGCCCGGCATTGTGGCGGGCGCCTATAGTCCCAGCTACCTGGGAGGCTGAGGCAACAGAATCGCCTAAGCCCAGGAGCTGGAGGTTGCTGTGAGCTGTGACGCTACAGCACTCTACCGAGGCCCACAAAGTGAAACTCTGTCTTAAAAAAAAAATAAAAAAAAACCTTAATCCTGCCAACCTGGTGGATCTGAGGTGGCCTGTGCCTCCCCCTCCCAGTCCACATATCCTCTGAAATAAATCCTCTCTCCTTTGACAATCCTTTTTGTCTCAGAATTGGCTTCTTGTGCAGCAGGAGCAACAGTGAACACCCCACTCCCACACACACACTTGTGGGTTTGTTAATGGAAGGATTACTTGAGCTCAGGAATTCGAGACCAGCCTGAGTGACCTGGGCAACAGAGGGAGACTAAAAAAGTCAAGCATATGCACACAGGAATACCGTGCTTAAGGTGCATTCATGTCTATTTATTCAAGTTCTCTTGCATCTCTTCAATAATCTCCTTCCCACAGGTCTTATAATTTAGCATTCTTTTTAATTAATTAATTTTTTTTTTTGAGACAGAATCTCACTCCGTTGCCCTGGTAGAGTGCAGTGGCATCACAGCTCACAGCAACCTCAAACTCTTGGGCTCAAGCAATCCTCTTGCCCCAGCCTCTCAAGTAGATGGGACTGCAGGCGCCTGCCACAACGCCTGGCTATTATAATAAAGGTGGCGTCTCACTCTTGCTCAGACTGGTCTCCAGCTCCTGAGCTCAGCCAATCCTCCCAGAGTGCTAGGATTAAAAGTGTGACCCATTGCATTAGGCTTCCCCCACCCCACCTTTTTTGAAGGAAAAATTTTAGTTGCAACAATCATGTAACAAATGGCACCAGTCTATTTCCCTAACAACTCAGAAATACTGACAACGAATTATTTACAAAAAAAACAAACTTGTAAAGACCAGAGGTTCTATTGATCTTACCTGACCATTCATTTTCTCATCCACTTGATTCAAAGTACTGACTTTCATTTCATCGTAAGGTGACAGCAAATTTACTTCAAACATCCAAGCCAGAGAACTTAACTACAGGCAGGGAGGGATCTCTGCTCCAACAATGTGGACAATCCCAAAGTGGGGCCAGGTTGCAAGGGTAACAGCATAAGTGCAAAGGAGAGTGCTCTCTCATCCCTGCTTCATTCCTCATTAATCTCAGCCACATTAGCAGTGAAAGAGGCGGTGGAAGCAGAGGAACCATCTCTCTTATCACAGCTATTTTTCATGTAGCTAATTCCTCCTTTCTGCCTCTTTTTCCAGATGACCCAACTACCCTCACACGCCCCAGGAATGCCTCTGATTTTATTATAGGCAACTTCAGAGGTATTTACCTTCTATTTACCACGGAATATCTACACTAAAACGCTCGTGTAAGTTGGCCTGCAACACTGCTTTGTTATGTCTTTAGACGCAAAAACAAAGTCTTTTATCTTATAAAAATCAAACCTCTTTCCCTTCCAATAAAAAACCCAGCTTTCTTAATCACACTGTCTCTTACAAAGTCTAATATTCTGAGTTTCACAGGCAATTATACAGATTGCTTTGTATACAAGAGTTGCTGGAATCACAGTAAGATATTATTGTCTGCTGAGAGCCAACGTGTTCAACTCACCTCCCAGCTATAAAACAAAATTGTACACTAAATTCAAAGTGCTATAATGTGTCTCATGTCATAGCTAAGTTGCTAACTGGAGAGAGCTGCATACTGATTAGGACAAATTTTGAAGCTGTAAAACAGCTGCTATAAAATATCATGTGACCATTAACTCAATCCTCCTAAGAACTGGCACCAATGATAAGCCAGGCCAGTGGATACAAAGACAGATTAGAAATGCTCTGGCCTTCTACAGGCTTTCAGCCTTCTGTCACCACCTTTCTACTAGCAGCTTATTTCTACCAACATCAATTGTGTTGTTTCTCATCCTGTGGGTCCATGGACCAGCACCAACATAGTGGCACCAGGGAGCTTGTTTAAAAAGCTTAGCTCCAGTTCAGTGCCTGTGGCTCATGTGGCTAAGGCGCCAGCCACATACACCAGAGCTGGCAGGTTTGAATCCAGCCCACGCCCACCAAACAACGGCTGCAACCAAAAAAAAAAAAAGCTGGGTTTGTGACAGGGGCCTGTAGTCCCAGCTACCGTGTTTCCTGGAAAATAAGACCTACCCCCAAAATAAGCCCTACCCTATAATAAGACCTAGTGATGGGCATGGCTATGCAGCGTATCTGCATAGCCATACATGCATTTCTACAAGGAGCGCTAAGGAAGACTGGAATACCTTTCATCTGCCACAGCTCCTTTCTCCAAGCCGTTCATGCGCCAGTGGTAACCACAGTCACAGGCATCCTACTGCACACGTGCAAACAGCTAGGGGAAAGGAGTTCATGCATCACTAAGTGCCAGCCCCACCAACAAGGTTGGCTCCCCCTGTCAGGTTCCAGAAGATGACTTAACTGTATTTGAATAAATGTAGATTGCTGTATTGTACTTAAAATAAATAAGACATCCCCTGAAAATAAGCCCTAGTGTGTCTTCTTGAGAAAAAAGAAATATAACAACGGCGTCTTATTTTTGGAGAAACATGGTACTTGCGAGAAGGAGGCAAGAGAATCACTCAAGCCCAGGAGTTGGGGGTTGCTGTGAGCTGTGATACCAAAGCACTCTACCCAGGGCAACAGCTTGAGGCTCTGTCTCAAAAAAAAAAAAGAAAAAGCTTAGCTCCACCACACTGCCTCAGTCAGCATCTGCATCTAACAAGATCCCCAGGGCATTCATGAGCACAGTGGAGCTTTGAGATTCCCCAAATAAACGTGTGGGGGAGGCTTGGCACCCTTAGCACAGTGGTTACTGCGCCAACCACATGCATTGAGGGTGGTGGGTTCGAACCCAGCCTGGGCCAGCTAAACAACTGCAACAAAAAATAGGTGTTGTGGCAGGTACCTGTAGTCTCAGCTACTTGGGGTATTGAGGCAAGAGAATCACTTAAGCCTAAGAGTTGGAGGTTGCTGTGAGCTGTGACACCATAGCACTCTACCAAGGGTGACATAGTGAGACTGTCTCACATAAATAAACAAACAAACATGTGGTTCAGAATCTCTGTATTTAAAAAAACAGAACTCTCCATTGTTCTCCACATCATTCTCCAACTACTGAGCCCTTCCCCTGCCCTCTAGAGCAAACCCTGAGATCATGTTTACATAGGGGTCTCCCCTCCGGTCACCCATGTTGCAACTCTCCCAACCTGGCTTTCACACACCCCCTACCGTGTCACCAGAACAGCTCACCACCTAGTACCTATTGTCCTTAACCAAAGGAACACTTTTGCCAGTCACTCCCCTTCCACTTAACCCCCTCATCTGCACTGAATGTGGTCAACAGCCACCCCTCAAGCTGTCCCTCCCCACATCTCCTTTAACCTCTCACCCACCCCTCCTCTCACTACACCCATGAGTGGTGATGATAACTATTCAGGGAAGTCTGAATCCTTTAACTTCCAGATTAGACTCCAGAGCCAATAGGATCATTAACCAACACTTGCACTTGGCTTTCTTATGCCTACTTATGAGTTCCAGATGCTCAAAGTGCAGCTCAGTGTTCTTCACTGGAGCCAACAGACCTGCCTCAGCCCAGTGCCCAATACTATCACACTCCAAGTTCACAGAGCTTCCTTCCTTTCCCAACAACTCATCCATCGACTGCCTCCATCCACTGTTTCCCATTGCTACATGTCCCATCCTCAACCAAGCCATCTCATTTCTCATTAACAGTCTCCTTTAAATGACCTTTGTCTCAGGCCAGGCACGGTGGCTCATGCCTATAATCCCAGTACTCTGGGAGGCCAAGGCAGGTGAATTGCCCTGAGCTCACAGGTATGAGAGCAGCTTGAGCCAGAGCGAGACCTTGTCTCTATAAAACAGCCGAGCGTGTAGCAGGTGCCTGTAGTCCCAGCTACTTGGGAGGCTAAGGTTGCTGTGAGCTATGTATAATGCCACAGTACTCTAATGAAGGCAACAAAGTGAGACTCTGTCTCAAAAATAAAAATAAATAACCTTTGTCTCTCTCTCTCTTTTTTTTGAGACAGAGTCCCAAGCTGTTGCCCTGGGTAGAGTGCTGTGACACCACAGCTCACAGCAACCTCCAGCTCCTGGGCTCAAGTGATTGAGCCTGGGCTGGATTGTTGTTTGGCCTGGGCTGGATTCGAACCCACCAGCTCTGGTGTATGTGGCTGGCACCTAAGCCACTTGAGCCACAGGCACCGAGCCATTTGTCTCTATTCTTGACCCCAACAATCCATTCTTCATTCAGCCATCTGAACAATCTTTTTTTTTTGAGGCAGAGTCTCAAGCTGTCACCCTGGGTAGAGTTATGTGGCATCATAGC